AGTGCCACCACCTTGTACCTGAAGACACGACTGAAGGGGGCTTGGATGCAGCTACTGGAAACAGTGGGAGTTTGTCGTCTCAGGTCCATCTGTTTTCCAGATCCTAAGCACCTTCAGCCTCCAACCCCTTCCCTGCCTCCGGTTTTAGGAGAAAAAGGACTAAGTAAGCTTCAAAGGGCTCACAGTCTGCTTAAGGAGAAAAGATGAATCACGTAAAAGCCATTTCCTTCTCTGTGCGCTGGGGATTCTAATCCGAGCATCGCACCAGATGCCCTGAACTGCAGAGATCTTGAAACCGGAGTGTCCTGGTTCATGTCAGAACCGTCTGTATGCAGGACAGTGTGCCGATGAGATGGACCAGCACTCATATCTGAATGTCAGTATAATAACCAGCTCCAACTGCTGCTATGCAACTGGTGTTTACTAGTGCCTGGGCTCAAGTGTTTTATAGGGTTTGTTACCATCAATCCACTCTGTTACATCCAGTAGATGTTTGTTTGTTTGTTTATTGAGACAGGGTCTCTCTGTGTACCTCTGGCTGTCCTGGAACTCACTCTGTAGACCAGGCCGGCCTCAAACTCACAGAGATCCACCTGTCTCTGTCTCTCAAATGCTGAGATTAAAGGCATGTGCCACTGCACCCAGCCTATTTGTTTATTTAAAAAATTATTTTTGCCAGGCGGTGGTGCATGCCTTTAATCCCAGCACTCAGGAGACAGAGCCAGGTGGATCTCTGTGAGTTCAAGGCCAGCCTGGTCTACAGAGCGAGATCCAGGACAGGCACCAAAACTACGCAGAGAAACCCTGTCTCGAAAACAAACAAACAAAAATTATTTTCATATATATGTTTGTGTTTGCATGTTTGTATGCACAAACACATGAAGATCCCATGAAGATCCTAAGGAATGGAAGTTACAGGCTGCTGTGAGCCACCATGTGGTTGCTGGGAATTGACCTGGGGACCTCTGGAGGAGCAGCCAGTGCTCTTAGCTGCCAAATCAACTCTCCAGCCCTGTTATTATTTATTTTTCTGTCCATTTTCCATATTAGAAATGGGGACATAGGGAGATCAGGGAAATCGAGTTCTGAGGTTTTTGTTTTTGTTTTTTGGGTTTTTCGAGACAAGGTTTCTCTGTGTAGTTTTGGTGCCTGTCCTGAATCTTGCTCTGTAACCCAGGCTGGTCTTGAACTCACAGAGATCCGCCTGGCTCTGCCTCCCGAGTGCTGATATTAAAGGCGTGCGCCACCGTGAGTTCTGAGGCTTTTAAAGCAAGGCGTCGACCACTAGGATGACTCAGCAAGTAAAGATGATTGCCACCTGATGGTCTGAGTTTGATTCCTGGGACCCACGTGACGGAAAGAGAGAGCCAACTCCTGAAGGTTGTCCTTTACCCTCCAATCATGTGCCTCATTTTGTGTGTGTGTGCGTGCGCATACACATAAGTCAATACAATAAACGTTGGTCTCAGTGGCCTGCCTGCAAACCCAAGCTATATTTTTGTTATTTTTTTAAAGAAGGAAGGGTTTCCTTTGGCTTGCAATCTGCAGGAATACAGTCCACACCGGGGAGGCACGTGGCAGGCAGCTCCACGGTGTCAGCAGCGTCCCTGAGATTCCTCACGTTTCACTTGTCGGAACTGCCCCAGACCCAAGGCTTTAGTCACTGCACAGAGGTCAGGGTCAGTCAGCGCTTACCTCTCACACACTTCCATTGTCCTGGTCGGGATTGTCATCATTTTCTCGTGTGTTCTCTCCTACAGAGTGTGTCTTCAGGAAGGCGGAGAAGGCAGGACTATGACCATCCTACCATCACGGGTGCTCATGGGTAATTCCAGCACCTGCACTAGGAACTCACGTAGAAGGTACTCAAAAGGCTTCCCAGATGGATCAAATGCAGGGAAGGAAGTAGAAGCTTCCTTTTCACAAACACCCACTACTCCCTGGGTCTGCCAGTCAATAGCCAGCAAGTATAAACTAATTGTCTCACGTCCCCACCTCCCACTTCCAGCTTCTCTGTAAACAAAACAAGGAGTCTCCCCATTCCTCAAAGAGTGAAACATAACCCCAGTACTTCAGAGGTGGAGGCTGGAGGGTCAGAAGTTCAAAGTCATCCTCAGCTATGTAGTTGGAGACCAGCTTGTGATACTTGAGACTCTATTTCAAGGAAAGAGTTGGAGAGATGGCTCAGTGGTTAAGAACACTGACTGTTCTTCCAGATGTCCAGAGTTCAATTCCCAGCACCCACATGGTAGCTCACAACCATCTGTAATGAGATCTGATTCCCTCTTCTAGAAGTGCTTGTGTGCTTGAAGATAAGACAGGTCACTCATATACATAAAATAAATATTAGAAAGAAAAAAAAGAAAGAAAGAAAGAAAAGGAAAGAGCCCCCCCCCAAAAAAAATGCCCGGCAGTGGTGGCATATGCCTTTAATCTCAGCACTCGGAGGGGAGGTAGAGGTGGGCAGATCTTTGTGAGTTCGAGGCCACGCTGGTCTACAGATTGAGTTCCAGGATGGCCAGGGTTACACATAGAAACCCTGTCTTGAAAAACCAAAAAAAAGAGCCAGGCAGTGGTGGCGCACACCTTTAACCCCAGCACTCGGGAGTCAGAGGCAGGAGGATCTCTGTGAGTTTGAGGCCAGCCTGGTCTACAGAGCAAGATCCAGCAAAGGCACAAAGCTACACAGAGAAACCCTATCTCGAAAAACTAAAAACAAAAAACAAAACAAACAAACAAAAACCCCCCCAAAAAAACCAAAACAAAGGAAGAAAAAGAAATACAGAAGTTCCAGTTGTGGGTATATGCCTGAGAGAGAGAAAAATAGCGTCTGTCCAAACAAAACCACACAAGGCAAGCGCCCAGCGGTATTACCTATAGGTGATGTCCGTCAGCAGATGAGTGGATGAAGCCACGTGGTTCAGGTATATGATGGGCTATTTGCCCATCAAGAAAGGAATAAGTGCCTAACACAAGCTACACGCAGAGACCCTCAAAAACAGCATGCCAGGGCCAGCGAGATGCCGCAGCTCTGGTAAAAGCACTTCCTGAGCTAACCTGCTGCTGATCGCTGGGACCCACATAACGCTAGAAGGAGAGAACAACCCATGGTTGTCTGCAGGGATCCCAGTGTTTGTGGCCCCACAAATTGAAGGGAAAGTTAAGAGGAGACTTGTTCAGTCCAACATCTCAGGGTTTCGTGCCTGGCTCTCCTCTGCCACTGTCGTCCCCCCCCAACCCCTCCACCCCCGCCACTGTCGTCCCCTCCCTTGCTGTATAGACCAGGGTGGCCTCAAACTCATAGAAGTCCAGCTGCCTCTGTTTCCAGCTGCCTCTGTTTCCTGCGTGAGTGTTGGGATTAAAGGCATAACCGCTGCACCCAAATTCAGTACATATCCAGGGTGGCCTTGAACTCCTGATCCTCTTGTCTCCTGGAAGGTGTTAGAGTTTCAGGCATATATTCTAATGCCTGGTCTTCCTCTGCCGCCACCATCCTTCTACACAGCACCATCACCGTCTGTCTGAAGCTACTCTACCAGGAGTCATTCATCCCAGAAGTACTTGTTGGATACCCACAAACACTGGGTCACTGTTCCAGGTCCTGGGGCTCAGCGGTGAGCACCCCATCCCTGATTTTTTTTTTGTCCCTTTAATTTGTGACTGTCTCACCTAGGAGTGGCCCATCTGCCCCTCCAGGAGCCTCCACACTCTTGTTCACTCCCCCCAGAGTTTGCCTCAATCATTGTTTACTGGTTGGATTTTATCCCTTGGCCATTGTCTGATAGAAAGGTGTGATCTCTGGCTGTCACCCACAACCCCAAGCCTGACAATGGGGCTCAGTCCTCCGTGATCAGGTCAGACCTGGATCTAGGGAAGGCTGACAGTATCTTGTGCTGGGACGGGCATTCTTTCCTCTATCTCCTCCAAGGACCCTGCTTTGTGCCTTTTACGTGTTCACCCGCCAGGGCTTCCAAGGTCTCTTGAGTGCCTCTTCGATACGTGACTTCTGAGAACTGGGACTTGCGGGAGAACTGTGGAATCGCCATTTTTGAGGTTGCCAGTGGAAGCTAGAGACTTTCTGTTACAGTTGGGGAAACCGAGGCGTAGACTGGGATAAGGATACATCCATGAGAATGGGCAGATTCTAGATGAACTCCTCAGACTGTAGAAGCAAATTGCAAGTGCAATTGTGCATCTATATTATAAACTATGTTATAAACACCGTGAAGAGTTGGATGGTTTTGGACAGTGTTCCCAGTGCGTTGCTTTTGCTAGTGCTGGGGTCTAACTGGCCTGGTACCTGGAGGACAGGCACTGTAGCAATGAGCTCCCCACACTACTGTCTTGTGGGAGCTTAGTATCACACCGAGGGACAGGGACTCTGGTGACAAGCTCATGATGGGACTCTGTGAGGTGCCAGGTCTGCAGACGCTGCTTAAACCCCATTTGCTGGCTGTGCCCGGGCCACAGAATGAAGGAGAGAGAGAAAATGAAGTAGATGAAGGGATTAAGGATTAAATCACAGCCTGTGGTGATGGCGCAGGCCTTTAATCCCGGCACTCAGATCTCGGTGAGTTCGAGGCCAGCCAGGGCTACACAGAGAAGCCCTGTCTAGAAAAACAAACAAACAAACAACAACAACAACAAGGAATTAAATTACACCCTACTTATGTTTGGTAACACTACTTTTGTGTTTTTATTTGTTTGTGGTGCTAAGATTGAATCAATTTCCTCTTTTAACACAGGCAAGTGCAACAAGCTGCACTCGGAAGCTGCCAGACTACTTTAAAACACCAAGTCCCAAACACAAGAAATAAATCCCAGCCCGCAGAGGAGTGGGACCTTGGATCTGTTGCCTGACTTCCCACTGAACCCGCCCCCCCACCGGAGGTTGGGTGAGCCTTGAGACATAATCTCTGAGCCCCTCTGTTGGATCAGAGGGTCAGCTGACGGGAAGACAGTCCCATTGTATGTAAAAGACTCTTCATTAAGCTTTCTCTATTCCAACTGTGCCAAGTGGCAGGCAACTTAAGGTCTCCCGGGGAAGAGAATCTCAGCAGACCTTCCTCCTGTCAGTGCCGCCCAGGAAGGCCAGGCACAGGGCTCGGAGACAGGTGAGTGGCCGGAGGCATGAACTGTCCTGTCTTTTCTGAATGTAACCTGGTGATTCTCCTGGGGGGGGGTGGTGGCTTGGTTTAGGGGAAAATTAGGTCCATTTTTTCTTTACAAAGAAGACATGACCAGGTACGAGGCCTCTGTGCTTCAGATCTCAGTTGGTTTGCCTTAGACACACCCATGGCTATACCACATTGAGAAAGAAATGCAGAATGGAAGAGTTGGACTCCAGGCCATATGGGCTGAGGGGCTGAGGTTGGAGGACATTGAGGGACTGGAGGCAGTCTGGAGGTTTCACTCCATGCATTGTTAGTCTGTGTTCCAGGCTGTTCTCTCCCTCTCTCTCTCTCTCTCCCTCTCCAGTTTTTTGAGACAGGGTTTCTCTGTGTAGCTCTGCCTATCCTGGAAGTCACTCTGTAGCCCACGCTGGCCTCGAACTCACAGAGACCCGCCTGGCTCTGCCTCCCCAGTGCTGGGATTAAAGGCGTGCGCCACCACCGCCTGGTCCAGGCTGTTCTCTTTCACTGCGGTTTCCTTCTGCTGAGGAGACCCTGGCTGTGACTTTCACAGTGCTCCGGGAACATCTCCCTTTGCTGATGGTAGAAAGAGTCTCTGACTTGGAGTCTGGGGGCCTGGATCAGAATCTTGATTGCTATCAAACTAAAGAGCGCTGTCTTTGTAGACAGCTCGGCTCGGGCCCTGGCTCTCCCCTTGCTAATGGCATGGTCTGGGCCAGTGAGACGCCCCACTTCCAGAGCCTCGGTGTCCTCATCTCACGAGGAGGCCAGTCCGTTTTGAGTACTGTCGGTCTATCCATTCCTTCTCCTAGACATTTTGTGACAAACCTGGTTGGGAGTGAGGGGTGAGGGGGTGGGGGTGGAGGGGTCGGGGCGGGGGGAGTAGGGGGGAAATGTCACTTGGTCCACTGGAGTGTCCAAGAGGCAGCACTGGATTAGGCAGGGTGGACTCACCTCCAGTTCCAGGCCGCTCTGGGTTACAGAGTAAGTTCCAGGCCAGCATGAGCCACAGAGTGAGGCCCTGGATCAAACAAAGCAAAGCAAAACAAAACCCGAAATGTGGTGGTGTAGGAATCCCAGCACTTGAGAGGCAGAAGCAGGCAGATCAGGAGTCCAAGGCCAACCTCTGTTACATATCGAACTTGAGACCAGCCTTGGTTACATGAGACCCCCATCTCAAGAAACAAAAAATGCAGTTTGTTTTGGATTGAGACAAACATTGATTGTCATGTAGCCACAGAATTCACTTACCAGTAAGGGGTATGGGAACTCACTGGGTATGAGAGAGAGAGAGAGAGAGAGAGAGAGAGAGAGAGAGAGAGAGAGAGAGAGAGAAGAAAGATTGATTTTTTTTGAGGTAGAATTGGAATGAAACTATATAAGAAACACATTTCTTTTTTTTTTGTGGCACACCTTTTATTTATTTATTTATTTATTTATTTATTTATTTATTTATTTGAGTAAAACCAAAACTTATTATAAGCCACAGTCATCCTAGGGTCCCCCCTGCTATATAGCCTCCCTGGATCTGTGGGTTGCAGTCTGATTGTCCTTTGCTTTATATCTAGAATCCACTTATGAGTGAGTACATACCATGTTTGTCCTTCTGGGTCTGGGTTACCTCACTCAGGATGATATTTTCTAGTTCCATCCATTTGCCTGCAAATTTCATGCTGTCATTGTTTTTCTCTGCTGAGTAGTACGCCATTGGAAACACATTTCTAATACCCAAGACATTTCTTATACCCACTTCAGAAAAAAATGCTTGCATCCTTTATGGTGCGTGTACATGTTTATGTATGCAGGTGTGTGTGTAATCCAGAAGTCAACCAGAGCATCATCCCCAGTGGCTTTTGTTTTGTTTGTTTGTTTGGTTTTTGTTTTGAGCCAGAGTCTCATCACGTAGCTCTGGCCGGTCTGGAACTCACATATAGACCAGGCTGGCCTTGAATTCATAGAGATTTACCTGCCTCTGCCATCTGAGTACTGGGATTAAAGGGCTGTGCCACCACGCTGGCTTGTATATGTTGTTTTCCGCCTTGGTATTAGAGACAGGGTCTGTCACTGAACCTGAGCTTGCTGATTTGACCAGGCTGGCCGGCCAGGGAGCCTCAGGGAGCCACCTCCAAGCACATGCTGCCAGGCCCAGCTCTCTCTCTCTCTCTCTCTCTCTCTCTCTCTCTCTCTCTCTCTCTCTCTCTCTCTTTGGTTTTTTGAGACAGGATTTCTCTGTGTAGCTTTGGAGTCTGTCCTGGAACTCACTCTGTAGCCCAGGCTGGCCTCGAACTCACAGAGATCTGCCTGCCTGTGCCTCCCAAGTGCTGGGACTAAAGGTGTGTGCCACCACTGCCTGGCCTTTTGTTACTTTTTTTTTTTTTTTTTTTTTTTTGGTTTTTCGAGACAGGGTTTCTCTGTGTAGCTTTTGCACCTTTCCTGGATCTCGCGCTGTAGACCAGGCTGGCCTCGAACTCACAGAGATCCACCTGGCTCTGCCTCCCGAGTGCTGGGATTAAAAGCGTGCGCCACCACCGCCCGGCCCTTTTGTTACTTTTAATCCCAGTGTGCACCAAGTGTGAGAACCAGAGCTGGAGAATAGGTGCCCATGCAACACCCTAACCATGGACACTTGAGATGATGTGTGCTGGGTGGAGTGGAGAGAGCCTCGGAGTAGGGAGCCAAGAGACACTGTGCGATCTTGTTTGAGGCATAGCACGCTGGAGGGAGGAGCCTAGTTCCTGACTGGTCCAAGGAGGAGCCTTGGCTAAATATCTTGGCTAATATCGGAACCATCGGGCAAGCCACACATGTCCTTGTCCTGAAATCCCAGCCACTCAGAGGCACACAGAGTTTTGTTTTGTTTGTTTGTTTTTAAGAAAGGGGCTGAGGAGATCTAGCTCAGTGGTAGAGTTCTTACCTAACTTGCTACGACTCTAGATTCAGTTCCCAGCACCTAAATAAATAAATAATCCAACCAACCACCAGGAAATCTATGAGAAAGAAGGACAAATTAAAGAGGTGTGACTTTATCCTGGAATCCTGTCTGTTCTGTCCCCAGGGTCCCTCAAGGGGTTCTGATGTGCAGCCAGGTTTGGGGTGACTAACTTCAGGTAGTGGGCCCCAGGAACCCAGGGACATTCTTGTGTATAAAACACCAATTCTAAGCCAGGTTCAAACCTGTAATCTCCTCACTTGAGAAGCTGAGGCAGGAGGATAGTCACCAGTTTGAGACCAGCATGGGTTACACAGAGATTTCAGGCTAGCCTGGGCTAGAATGAGACCCTATCTCAAACAGCAACAACAAAAACCCCAAACCCACCAAACAAAACCAATGAAACAACCGTATTTTGGGCTCACTGGGGTTTCTGATGTTCATGGACCTGGAGCGACTTCTCCTGCATCCCTCATCTAACAAAGATAAGGCAGGATGAAGCTTTAGAGAGAGCTCCTTATTTACAGACTCCAGGACTCTAAGCAGAGAGTGGGGTTCAGTGTCCTTCCCTCAGAGCATCCTAAGGCTCAGTAAACTGTCACAGTGTGACCCTGTGTGATAAATGCTTCGGCAAGTCCCCAAAGTTTGAAAGACACTGAAGCCACCCTTGGAGAAAAAGAATAGAGGAATTCAGTGTGTGGAAACTTTCGGATTAAATCTGACCATTAAGTATACCCCACCGTATGTTCACAGAGAGTCCTGGGTCTTGACACATAGGAAGAGAAAACTCACACAGACACAGACACACACACAGACACACACACACACACACACACACACACACACACACACACACACACACACACACACACAGGTGTTTAAGTTTCTAGCTAGTAACCTTTTTTAAATTCTATAACAGATTCTTGTTTTATTTTGTTTGAGACAGGATTTCTCTATGTAGCCCTGGTTGTCCTGGAAATCTCTCTGAGGACCAGGCTGGCCTCAAACTCACAGAGATCCGCCTTCCTCTGCCTCCTGAGTGCTGGGATTAAAGGTTTACCAAGGCAATCTTTAGTCTTCAGTAGAGTAAGTGAATGTGTATTCTTATTTCCTTTTTTTTCTCTTCTTCCCTCCATCCCTCCTTTGATACCTCCCCCCTTTTTGAGACAGGGTCTCACTGTGTAGCCCAGGCTGGCCTCAAACTCCCAGAGATCCACCTGCCTTTGCTTCTGAGTGCTGGAATCAAAGACATGCACCACTATGCCTGGTTCCCCACTCCCTTTTTTTTGGGGGGGGGTTTCGAGACAGGGTTTCTCTGTGTAGCTTTGGAGCCTGTCCTGGACTAGCTCTGTAGACCAGGCTGGCCTCGAACTCACAGAGATCCACCTGCCTCTGCCTCCTGAGTGCTGGGATTACAGGCGTGCGCCACCACCGCCCAGCTCCCCACTCTCTTTTAAAGGTAGTTCTCACTATGTAGCCCAGGCTACCTTCAAACTCATGATCCTCCTGCCCCAGCCTCCAGGATGCTGGGATTACAGGTACACCCACCCCCCATCCTCCCCACCCCCCCCCCCACACCCCAAGCTCTTATTTCTATTATCTGAGGAGACTGGAAGCATTGTTCCACATGGAAATAAGAACTACAGGTCACCTCTCAGAAGTCCTTTTCCACTCTGTGCGGGGCACAGCCCTGGTGGGCATTGGGAGGCCTGGATTTCCTGGCCAGCCGGTAGAGTTAGAGAATTCACCTCTAGGTGGGTGGTTCCCTCAGCCATGGTGTCAGAGGTTGCTCTTTATGGAGAGGCAGTTTCAGCTCTACTGGCGGTTGGGACTTCCTCAAACACCTCTGTCCTACTGACAATGTAAAATTTCGCCCTGCCTGGTGGGACATGCCTTTAATCCCGCCCGACACTCAAAGGCAGAAGCAGAGGCAGGCAAATCTCTGTGAGTTTGAGGACAGCCAGCACTGTGCAGAGAGAGCCTGTTTCCAATAACCTAAACGAATAAATCAAATGAAGTTTCTTTGGGCCCCACAGACTGGAGTCCCTGCGGC